ACGAGGACTTCTAGGGTTGCTAAGCAAAGTTTGTCTTTCTTGGGGCTGTAGCTCATTGGTTAGGCAGTTGATTTCCAACCAGTGAGGTTCAGCTTCGGACCCGTCCCACCTCAAAAAATAGGTGTGGTTCATTGCCTATTTGCATGAGTGCAATATGCATACAGTTGCTTGATATTTCGTACACGCATTTCTATCCTTAAATACACAATAAAATGATCATGAATTGAGGCCAGTATAATGACTTTGAAAGAAGTTTTACAATACGGTTATACTGAGAAAGCGTGTTAACTTATTAGTATCATAATTGTTGTTGTGACCTATGTAAGCTATTCACAGTTGAAATTTGTAAGGTGGCTCTTTTTTTCAACTGTTTATAATTGTCAAACTTTCACACATCTTATAATCTTTCAAATCTAATTGTTTCCTTTCTAATCGATTCCTTTTTCTAGTTCATTTCAATAATTTTCATTCCTTGTGACATTGTGAAGTATGACAACTTGAAGTGATGAACTTTTACGTAAAGTTTTGATCTGTAAACTTCAGATGGTGGTATGATTTAAGACAAATCCCAATTCAACAAATGCATTTATTATATTTTGGATATAAACAACGTACATTTTGTTATTTGCAATCATTTTATTCTGTATTCACTTTTTTTTGTTTGTATCCCACTTCTTGGCTAGCTAAAATCAGTATTAGCAATACTACATAATTTTGTTTCATTCACTTTCGTTTTATTAATAATCTTTTCTTTTTGTGGCATTTTGAAATGTGGCAACTTGGATCGATATATTGATTTTTACTTATTTATTGATTTTTAAGTACATACAATTCCACCTACCTTTTTTTGTGTGTACACAGTCTTATTGTTTGTGAATCATATACACATGATCAATGCCTACTTAAAATGAAATGATTTATTCACACCAGGTATAATAATTGACAAACTAATAACCTACCTACCATATTACATTGATCAAATAATGAATAATAATAGTGGAATTCAAGCGAGAACAGTTAGTGTATACTGTAATTAATACGAAAGATTTCCAGTTTTACCGACCCTAGTATGTGATAAAAGATTTTGAGGTATGTCATACAAAATATAGTGAACTTCATATTCCTCAATGGGAATTCCACCAAGATTGAAGAGATAAGATTTGATTTCATCAAATAAAACATAAGATCGTGAGGAAAAAACCCTAGGCTTATTGGTATAATAGCTTGTATTATAACATCGTTGAATGGACTGAATTGATTAATCTCTATTGGAATATGGCTCCTGTGAAGATGCCCCGATATTACCTGTGTTCTAATTATAGTCAAGATGGATAGTGGCTAGCAGTAGAATCGAAGATGTGCATTTCATCCTATTTAGAACTCGTCAGCTGGACGTACATGCCGATCAATTCGGTCCAATCAACGACGGTATAATACAAGCAATTATACTAAAACTATACCGGTCGCACAAGAAGTGGCTATCGTGGCTCAGTGGTCCAATAGATAACGCCCTGGCGTTTGAAGCGGTCGCTCCCCAGTCCGAATCCCGGTGGGGACATCACTCACTGGGAGGCAGGTTCATTCAGCTGACGAGTAAGTTCCAAATAGGACGAATGCACATCCTGGATCCTACTGCTAGCCACTATCCATCTTTACTATGCTTATTGGCCAAAACTCATAAGAGTGTTTATTTACATCTGATCTCTATGCATCATTATAGCCCAGTATCATTGACAACTGGAACAGTCAACACTCAAGCAGCATTCATAGAAGTTATAACGACAAGAGAGGGGAACAACAATTCACAGTTGTACGGTGAATCCATCCTTTATGGACGCAATGATTACAGTTTGGATGAAGTGAAAAATGAGTTTGACTGAAAATTATATGACCTTCTTCTTGGAAAATGGCATTTAGGTGTGGTTGTCATCGTGGACGACTTTAGTGCATAAAAAGGAAGGCTAGGTCTGACAGAACAACACTTGAGTGGTACGTTCGGAATCTCAGTCGAGTGGACCAATAATAGCGATTGCCCACTAAAATTGTACACAGAGTAAATTTCAGACATAAGCAGAAGTATTTGTCAACCTTAGCTCAAAAGTGGACAAAGATAGACCATAACACTACCAGTTACCGTGAATGGGGTTAGTGGAAGACTGGTGTTTCTTTCAGAATAGTATGTAAATAAAAATAATAGAATGCAACTAAACTCGGCACTAGTATACAAGTCACACATTGTTAGCCAGGCTGAAGTAGGCGGAGCAGGATTTTAACCCGGAACCCATTACCTAAAAGTCGAATGTTCAAGCCAACGAGACACCTCCCCATCCTTTCATAGTAGGTGCTTGGACAGTGGTCACGTGCAGATTCAAGCATACGTATGTCTAAGACCAAATGTAAATGGATAGACTACAACTTGAAGACTGTTCTATGATGAGCTAGATCAAAGATGAGGATGCTAAGGCTACTTTAAAACAGAACTGTCTAGATAGTGGAACGCGACAATGGTAATCGTACTGACGAAGTCTGATGCCGCTTTCAGTCTGCTGTAGCACAGTGATAATCTCTAGGATAAAGTGAAGAAGGTTCAGTGGATAAGATAAGATAATGGATACACATAGAAGCGATGCTGCAGGCTCTGAGCACAGTATGGAGCTGAAGGAGTTTAAATGAAAATTGAGATAGAGTCTACACCATGATAGTGGGCAAAAATGATACAAGTGGAGAAAACAGATGTAATAGGCAATAGTAGATAGCTGTTTGGGCTTAGTAACGAAACCGAGACGAAAAAGTTAGTGGTTAGTGAGACAATAAAGAATAAAGATACGCATCCGATTCATTTTCAGAGGAGGTAACTAAAATGATGAACAAAACACTTCCAGAAATGGCTCAATCGACTTCTAACTACTTGATTATACGTACCCCGTTTCAGCTTGAATGGAACAATAAAGTGGTCTTCAATTACTACAAAAGTTGTAAAGACTGCAAAATTACATGAAACGAGAAACAGCAGCGATTCCTGGTGAGCTGGCACCTAAGGTATTTAAAGATAGAGTCCCAAGATCACTAATACGACTAACTAAGACAGTAGATGAGCATGGAAAGTGATTATGACACTCTTCAGTTGGTCTAAATCATTGGTTGTCTCAGTTTTCAAGTAATGAGTGAAATCGTCTTATGATACGGAAAAAACAAGCCAACCAAGATAATGTTTGAAATTTTAGGTTTGATAATTGCCTTATACCTAACTGTTGCGATGGAACAACAAACGCAGCGAAAAAAAGTAGGTTGCAGATGTGAGAATTTGAGCCAACCATGGTCGGTCGGTGAAACTTCGTTATGAATACATGAAGTTCGATCAGCTCTTGCCAAACTACATCACTTGCAGTACCGATGAAAGATTTGATTGTCTACTGAGGATTGAGTGTACTACACAGCAGTTCGATTTATCCAACTCTATAGTTATAAAAATATAGTCATTAAAGGTGGAGGACATGGAAAGGTTCGAGGTACCTGAACACTGCTGTCTTCACAGTATTACACATGCATCATGGAGCCATCATGTGAAGGACATGGAAGCTAAGTGTAGATGCATAGATAATGGTGGTAATTCAGTGCATGTGACTGCAAACCGTCACTAAATTAGGTGGCAGAAACATGTGACACAAAACGTTAACTTAAGTCCGGGTTACATCAGAAGGAAAGTAGGAGTTTTCAGATTAAAACACAGCACTAATCAGGGTGCAAAGAAATGTAGACTTCTAGTTTTGGGTCCACATGACAATCGAGAGCAGTAGTGCAGAGGCATCCATGTCTTATCTTTATATCAGCCGTTAGATCATATTTCATGATTGGTTGTAGGGTCTACAGTTTTCATCTTAGGGGTGTTTACAGTTTTTGATTAAGTGATTGTGATTTCTTCGCGTTTAACCTATTTCGATGTGCTGAAGTGCGATTTCCACCGTTATGCCGTAACAACAGATCTCATTTTGATGTTGATTGACTGAGTGATGCAATGCAGTTTCCCAGGTGGGATCAGGAGATTCATTGGGCTTCACATGTTATCAGATGTGACTGACTCAGAACCAAAACGGTGGTAGTCGCGCTATAGTTTTCTTGAGTCAATATAAAAGAAAAAGATTTTTGAATCCATCTCATGAGAATGGTTTTCTCACCACTCTCCATTTCATCGATTTTACCTTTATCATTTTTGTCTTCATTCTTCGTTTCTCTCTTTTCGTACTTTATATTTCTTTTGACTGCATTCTCTTATCTTCATCTTGCGCCTCGCTGCCTTTTTACTTGATGTACTGATATGAGGTGTGGCAACTCGGAGTATTACGTAGTAATGCCTGGTCCCAGGTTGATCTGGATGATGAATGGATGTCTTCATAGTGTTGTTTTACTTCTTTACGTGGTGCATTTCTCGATGCCAGTGTTAATATCGATGATGCGTCTTAATTAAACAATGAAAATACTAAAAACCAATTAAACAACGCTCAAGTTGAAGCCTTTTAGTTTGTATAACACCTAATGACTAATGCATAACAAATTTAATTCAGTACTTCTGAGTTGGTGAGATCTCAACCTTTCTAAGTACGGGTGGAATGACAAACTACCAAGCAATTTGAGGAAATTCGACGCAGACTATGTGGTTCGTGAATTATTTGAAAAGTTTTCATATGTCTCTCGAAAGAAAGGAGAAGCCTTTTTATAGCTATACAGCCATCATTCTCAAGAATGAGCATAGTAGTAAAAGGAAATGAACCAGAGTTATGACTGTAAGGCATTACTAGACAATATATGACGAATTGTGACATGCAATATCTTAGTCTAGTAGTACACAGGATGACTTATAATTCTGAAAGATAAATTTAGTAGGTAATGCTCAGTACGTTGCTTAAAATACGCTATTGTAATGAGCACATAGACTGAGACAGGGACAGGAGCAACTAACGGTGAATGTATTAAAATTCTATAAACAAAAACGGCACACTGACCTGGACCACCTGAGTCTATGGAAGATCGTCTATCTGCTTTAGGAGACGATTGAGAGGAGTTAGTCACATCAGAATCAGGAATCGGGTGTCTATAAATAAAAGCGAAAAACACTGATGAAGACAAAAATTGAGAACAGTTATACGTTTTTATGCAACACAGGTCATACCGAGTATGCTGAAACTAATTCCCTAAATATTTCAGTTTAAAAAGAAACAAAACCGTTTGAAAATACAGTAATTTCCATTGGAATTTCATAATAAAATGGATAAAAAATTACTTTATCTCTGTATCGGGGGTAGTGATACCAGCACTTTCAGGGTCGACTTCTCCAACTAATTCTTCCATAGACAATCGAGCGCCTTTAGTATAATCGGTGGAAGTGTGATATGCTTTGGGCAAGCGGTAACGTTTTTCCCTTGTAGTGGTTGAAGTGCTCAAGTTTATTGGTGAAGCATCTTCAGTAATTTTCTGCTGAAAGCCATTAGGAATGGAGTTCCTAGCAGATGTTTGTCTGTTAAGTCGCCGGATACCAAAGAAAGCACGCAAACCATCCAGAGCATTGCTACGCATATCCTGATCAGATGGACAAACATGAACAGTATAATTTGGATCTGAAGAGCTCCCGTTTGTTGTACCAGTGGACCAAGGTCTTTGACATTTGTAGCAAAATGAACGACCTTCACACATAGGGTGAGGACAGACGATTTGTGGACAGGCTTGGAAAGAGTGTGCTATTAATCCGTAACTGAAATGAAGACAAGAAGTCAAAGATACAGCAAACATCAATGAGAACAAAATTTAGATGCATCATATAGCTTGATTTATTTCATGCAAACAATACGGTATGAAAGTATCTCTGGGAAATTGATGTTGACAAATGAAGAGATAAACAACTCTGAACAAAGGTATAGAAAGTGTTATTGCTTGTATTATACCGTCGTTGATTCGACCGAAATAATCTGTCTCTATTGGCATATGGGCTCCATCACTACTATATATATAATTAAAACACAAGTAATATCGAGGTGTCCGCGCAAGAGCAGATCTGTCAATACAGACCGACGAACTCAGTCCGGTCACCGACAGTATAATACAAGCAACAACACTAAAACTATACCCATCGCACAAGAAATGGATATCGTGGCCCCGTGGTGTGGTGGATAACGCTCTGGCGTTTGAAGCAACTGGTCCCGGGTTCGAATCCCGGTGGGGACATCACTCAGTGAGGTGCAGGTAAGTCAGCTGATGAGTAAGTCCCAAATAGAACGAAATGCGCATCCTGGATTTCACTGCTAGTCACTACCCATCATTACCAAAGGTGCCGAAAATTCATTATTCTTAGTACCAGATACTGTGAAAAAAAATTGAAGAGAAGGATATTTTGTATGGAAGCACTGGGTTTTTAATTCGCCAATTCAAAACGTTTTTCATATATGGCAGTGTGAATAATACTTGCGAAGAATAAAGGAAATCTACCTTAGAATAACGGTAATCAAGGTAACAAAGATTACGATAAAATCGTTATATAAATCGTAATATCGAAGCAGTCTTACTGTATGCTCTTAATTAAATTGTTTTAAAGAATGTCAATGTGGCTTTATTGTTTAAACGGTAGACCTCTAGGCATTATAGTTCGAATTCGAAAAATGCTCTACTTACTATTGTAGTTTTTATCACACAGTGAGACAGCATTATTTGCTGGATAATGTTACGGACACGATTGATTTTCCCTATTTATACATCTATTGAACGAGCCAAAATGGAATTAAAATCTACCACAGTGCTTAAGTTTTACGCCTGGCTCACTTATTTCTATCTATTCACTCACACAGTATCATAAGCCTTTACACAATGTATGTCTTATTGTCTAATAAAAAAAAAACTTGTAACAGGTTGCTGAGCTAACGAAAATTGTTGGCTTTTGTGTCAACCCCTCTTACATACTTCTGGAGAGAGTTGCAAGGATCCCGTACTAGTTTCTCATACAACTACACTATTGCCATCCTATATTGTGTTCATTTTATTACTTAGTATTAAAACTGCAAAGTTATATTTGTTTATATGAGAATAATACTTCTGGTTAGGTTACTTTCAGTTTTGAAATTCTGTTTAGATATGCGCTTTCTTATTACCTTCGCCTTGTTCGCCTCCTTTTTGTTATGATGCGGAGTTGTGAGGACGAACGGAAATACTTAACGACTGATAGTCGAGGGTTGAAACGATTCAACCCGAGTGATTCGTAAAGAGAAACCGAAAGACTGGAAACCAGATGAGTTTATAGTATTTCGGACTGGAAACGTTTATGAGTGAAAACGGACTCTATTTATAGAGTTTACAGTAACCTTGAAAGACGAGGAATAATTAGTACAACTAAAAAAAGCAAGATCCAATTAGAACAATAGCGGGTCATACGAAATATGATCCATGTGCGGAAAAAGAGAGCGAAATAAACATGTTCAAACATATACAAACTGTAAGTATGGAATATAAGGGATACAGGCATCCCTAACACTTCTTTTTTTGACAAACCCTAAATCAGTAACGTCAGGGGTACTAACTGTATGTTTTGAAATCTGACAAAATGGCTGGAAATCGATTGCCAAAACCAATGAGTGGAAGTTCCGTGAACCGTGTAGAGGAACACAGCTCATTTTACTTACATCTCGGCAGTAGTATCTAAAAGTGTCTAGTATTATGAAGTACCACCAGTCATCATAAGATCAATATATGGCTTGGTCCAGTACACAGATGTGTATGAAGACGTTGAGATGTAGACTTTCATAGAGCAAACTGAAATTTGAAAAATATGCTATTGTCTAAATTGCTTGCTGTGGTACTTAGGATATATATATATAATTGTAAAGAGACTACACTGAGAATATGATAGCTCAATGATCAGACACATGACTCCGCTTTTAAAATGTGATATGAATGCTCGATTTGTTTTTGAATCATGGAGACTAGTTAGTAGTTACTTCTTGTGTTTAATTTCGAAATTAGTTCACACAGATAGTCAAGCACTAGTTAGCATGAGATGCCAGTAATCGCGTGCATGATACTTGTCTGAACAGCATAATCGATATGCATTACATCACTAAACTGTAAAAGTCACTAGATTACAAATGTTTGGGTAATAAGCAATAATGTAATACAGCTGTTCACTTGTTTCACAGATGTATGGATTAAAATAGCGTGAAATACATCTTTCAAAAAACTCGATAGCAGTAGACATTAAACCCTTGTACCATTTTATCGCTAAAGTCGAAAATAATTAAACTAACACATTTGGAAAACTTGATCACATGTAAACGTACTAATTATCAAAGTAAGTCGAAATCACTGATTATGATAAACCATGGGGTGAGAGTAAAAAACTTCAGCGGAAAATGAGCTGTATTTCTCCCCTGATGGATTATCATCGAAATCTCAACCAGTAACGCGGTGAAAATTTCCCCCCAGACATTATAATTGCAGTTATAGAGGTCACGGAAACCAATGCAATACCATGAACGAAAACCTGAAATTATTTTCATGTCATGGAGTTCCCTTAGGATGCAACAAACTTTTCTGCGCTCTATTTTAACACAAAATACAAAACATAAAGCTGAGTAGTGACATAAAATAATGAGTCACAGATATGCAGAAGGAAAATAGTCCAAAATGAATGCATATTCTCATTGGTTTAAGAAGTTGACATTCAACTAGTGGATCTGGGGTTCGAGTACAGCTACTATTGCGATGGGCAGTGAGGTAATATCATTACTTCCTCATGCAATAGGTGTGGCTCATTGCCTACTGCACGAGTCTGTACAAGATTGCTGAGTGGATTTCGGTTCCTTCGGTATTTTCTCATCTCCCTATCGTTAATGTACACTCCCAAGCAAAATCGAAGAACAAGTATCGCTGAATCAGATTTTGAGTAGCACCTGGTGATGCATGGCAACTGATTTATATGGTCACTGACAAGCCGAGAAGTGCCAACGAATCTAAACCTAACTAAAGAACTCTAGAGTCTAAAACATTACATCATGAAGTGATCGTCAATACGTTCTTTTCAATCATTCATATTACTTGATATAAAAGCATCTAAACTGGTATACATAAAATGTGTGCGGTGAAAGGATTTCTTGTGTCGACTAGATCAAGGCATGACATCAACTAACGGAGTGTGTGACGATCAGTTTATATAGGCTACCTAGTATTGATATCCAACACAAAAAGTCGATAGTTAGAGGTTGCATTCACTCATTGTTTCTGCAACCTACGATTACAGACGCTGATTGTCGGTTTATTGAGTGAGAATTGACTCTCTTGGGACTTCTAGAACAGTAAGACGACATTATCTCCAAGAATTCACTTTTTGAGTAACAGATGAGCATCATCAAAACACTTTATTCAGGTCGCTGAAATATTTTCCAAGACAAAGTTGGGGGAAGGGGGGGAAAGAACAATCAGACAACTCTAATTCTATAAAAAGTCTAAAAAAACTCTATAAAAACGAAAAGAATATGATTTGCAGGAGAAATTGAGCTCATATCCATCATGCCGCTTTCGTCAGCTCCAAACAGCCTAGAACGAATACTATAATTCTACTGTCAATTGACAGTCATGAAAAGAAACGGCTAGATAGCCTTTAGTCAACTTATACGGCTCTTTCAAGATTTTGAATATCTAGGGGATAACGTTTTCCCACAAACAAGGTTATTCAACTGTCACGTGGGAACGGAGTCTACCAGCCTGGTTCAATGGCAAACATCTGCTTTTACCCTTCTGCTTTCATGAGTATCTCACACCACAAAGGTAATGAGCAAGAGTTTTTGGAAAGACTATAAAATATATGATCACAAGGGAGGAGGGAATTCTGTTAACCTTCCATATTATCTTACTCTTGAGTGACCACAAAGTTAGGATGTTAAGCACATCCAATACTGGTGGTCGTGAGCAACGCGGACTAGATATCAAGTATATATAAAAAGGCTCAACTGGAGGCACTCCATAAATAATTCAGACCTCAGTTGTCTCAAGCAATTGAAATAGGGCTCATATTAGGTACGAACCAGTGCTACTTTATGAAATATGTTAGTTGTTTAGATAGAGATAGAGATGAACAGAAAGAGGTTGTTTACATTGAGAGCAAATGGTAAGGTTGCTAAGGTTACAATCCGATCGGTTATGTGGCTTCCGGGGTTGCCATGCAAATCAACAGTCCAATTTCAAAAGGCATTTTTACTTTTACAGTACACAGGATGATAGACTTACAAAGGTCAGTGAGATATTGACTACCAAGTGGCCGTCCCTTTTACTTCTGATTAACTGCACTGCAAGTACATATTCAGTCATACCGTTTTATTTTTTGAACATAGTTGACAGTATCATTTCATTACGTGAGGAGACATATGAAAAGATAACCAATTATTGGAGAATTAGGTTTGGATGTTTGTGAGGAATCATTGATTTCAAGTTGGTGTTCACCACGGAATTACAACAGCTGGAGAACCATTGATGACCTCGCAGTACTAGAGAGCTTTTCCATCCTAGGGTAGGAATACTCACCAGTGTCTACCCATGATCCTGTTAGACATCGAACCCAGGACCTTTAGGTTTCGCGGTGAGCATGCTACCATTGAGTAACTGGGTTGGAATACAATGGTCCATATTTCCCCACTTCTGTCAGTTCATGATATAGCGTAACCTGTATCTGATGACATCGTTGAATATTTGTCCTAGCGTCGAACTTGGTTTGCCCCACTGACCACGACCTCTCATTAGAAATTCGGGATATCTCATCTTGAAGTAAGTCACAAATGAACACTGGACAGTAATTTAGTTCAAGGGTTTGTGTAGATTTATTGATTTGAAGTTGGTATTCGTCATGGACTGACATCATATAGACAATTTTTTATTCCTCTTAACCACCATCCAGGGTAAGTTACAAGAATGGTCACGACTCGAGATGATCAACCAATAATGAGGTCTTATGGGTGTATACTACTTAGCTACACTATATCGTATCTCTTGGTCTGACGAATAATAGATATTCTATAAATGGTCGAGCAATTAAAAATGTTTTCATGTAGTTGTCTCAGATCTACCATCCAGACAACTCACAACCTTAAAAACAAAATGGTTAGTGATTACCAGTACATTTTAAGCATGAAATCGTATGTGCACTTGTTACTAGCCTATTCAGTTTTCCTCTTTTTGAACTGTTTATTTCATATCCTCCCACAAACTAAACCTTTACGAACGGAAAATCTGACGTACACCCACCAATTTAAGTCGATAAATAAAACTTTCTACAGCTTACGCCGATTAGGAAATGAGTCGAAATCGTGGTTACTTTTCAATGGAATTATTGCTAAAGGATGTATTAATATACATCAACAGAGATGAAGCTTAAGTTTGTGGACAACGAACTATGGACAAATTATAAACTTAAAAGATATCACTTCAACGGCATTTCCGCGATGATTTCTGTTCACCTTAAACAAACATTCTCTATTTGTTACTTCACATGAATACATGCTGTCTTCGCATAACGAGACACAGCTCGATTACTACAATAACGATATATACTACAAATATATCAATACCCGTCAACAAAACATTAACTTACCCACAACCTCTTGGGCACCATCTCGCTTCTGGCTCTCGTGACATTACTTGTCGGAGTAAAAACTCTTCATATCGGGATAAACTGCGAGCATACTGATTTTCTTTCGACCTATCTTGTGACGACTCTTGGCGATTCGAAACGGAAGATAAAAGATGAATGACGGTTGATGGTTGTAACGTTTCAGGACATGCTATGCATGTGAGATGGGCCAGTGCAAAGCTTTCGATTTGACTGGAGATGAAATTCCTCCAACAAGCTGCACAAGCATAGTGACCACACGAACTTAGTTGCAACGGATCTTCAGCAGGTGACAGACAAACTGGACATTCAACTTCTTTTTCAGAAAATGGGATAAGCTTGTCACATTTTTTCGTCTGTGAGTGAGAACCTGTGAAATTCATGATACGAAATGATGAAGACGTTAGTGAAGACGAAAAAGGATGAAGATTTTCACATAGTTTATTAAAATAAGAGATCCTTTCAAAAAAGCATCTGAGAATAAACTACTCAAAAATTATGGAAATATGCAACAAATATTCACATAAACGGTTATTCATAATCAGAGAGAAGTGATTTGATGAACGAATCCTCTACTGTAATTTCCAAACGAGTAAGTCGTGTAAGAGATGTTCTCATCAGATCTAGTTCCCAATTCCTCGATATCTTAGAGCTTTGATCTGGTGAGAAATATTTTGTTGACTAGGAAGATAAACTAAGTGCATGTAGGAGGATTAGTCGACAGTTTATCGTGTTAAGCTAATTCTCAAATTTTATGAGTTTAGGATGGAATAGCCGCAGGGTGGATACAGCACACTGGCAAATATATTGAATACATATCATGAAAAGTGGAGATAAAGCTCTTGACTAAACAAAATCATCAATGAGAGGAATTCAGGTTAAACCAATATGATTTTTTCTTCCTAGCGTTACGAATTTTTAGTGATTAATTACAATCAGCTGATATAAAAGTAAAAAGATGAACTAGAAAAAATAATTGCGTTTTAAGTAGTTACACACTAATAAAAAACAGTGTACAGTCTTACACAGAAGTGAACTAGTTCAACCATCACCATTTCGAAAAAGCCCAGAAAGGAGAAGCAAACAAGTGTATAGTGTAATCAGTATAGTAAAGAGAGCTGAAAAAGAGAAGAGCTAATTAATTTCAGAAATGAAACGCCGTTTACGCCGATATCGCAGAAAGGAAAATTACAAGGAAGGATACTAAGATGAACATTAAAAGGTATATAAATAAAAAACAAATATTTATAGGAGGGCGTTAAGTACAGATTAAAATAAGTGTATTTATACTACTATGGTAATTCAAAACTTATTGCTGAGACTAAGATTTATGCACACCTTATCTTCATTTAAAAGCTTTACACCTATATTTGTTATCGTAATTTCCACTTTATTTCCAGAGAACTTATATCGTACTTTCTTTCCTCTTGTTGAGTATATGTCCGTTAAGCTAACGTGAAGCATAGCAAAAGGTCTACCTAAGATATTTTTTTCGGTCAAACCACCTGATATCTCTGTCCACCGATTTCACTATGATGGAAATCAGACTCAACTCAACAACTATTCGCTGCGCGAAACACTCACTGTGTGGGATCTGTTGATATTGCTTAACTACTCAAGCCTCGGTAAGTGGTACGAAGTTCCCTTACTTATCAGATCGTTAAGACCACGTATATAAGTCCTAATCATCAGAATTTACAAAAAAGACTGAAACAATGTCACCTTACAAAGAAAGATACCAATCCAAATAGCCCCAATAGAATATGAAGCATGAAGTACTAATCAATGTGCTATAGAAACATCAGTTTAGGCAGTTGACAGTCTGTATCCAAAAGTCAGCAAAATCCAGTAGATTTCTGAAACCTTATCCGAACTGACTGATCCAAAAAAGCATTTCGCCTATTTCCGATCACGATGAGCAGCGAAAGCTAATTAAACATGAGTTGACCACGAGTTTCCATAATGGCAGCGAGATATGGTGAAAGGCAAAAGCAAGAGGTGAAAATGAATTCGAAATTAAGTGATACTCTGCAGTTATTCAAGCTTATCAGGAAACTGGTACGAAGGCGACAGTATGGGAGACTATTACCAAAAAGGATGGTCTCTGATAACTTTTTAGGACAGGCAACTGGAACATTGAATAGAACACTGAAGAAAAGCTCGACTAACATACGACAAAACTCCAATTACCTAACACCCAGATGAAATCTGAATATGTTGTAGATGTTTATCCTCCAAATCTCACCGACGTTTAAAAACTATTTCAAACTTGAAACACTGAGAAGTAGTAGAAACTAGCAGTTTGGTGTGAAGGGTTTCTGAGGATGGAGACATGAAATTACTGACCGGAACAATCAAGGTAATAGCTAGTACGCCAGAACCACACATATTTCTGGCTGTTTCACCTAGATCATTGATGATTACGGTTTATAAGAGTGGTTTGTGACAAGTACAGAGGAATCAGTTTGAGTCACTAATCTTAAAATCTCACGGGTCACAGTCATCCGATACCTAAATGGAGCTTAAAAACAACGAACTCGAGAGAACTAGGTGGGTTTCAAAACTGGATGACGGTGCATTGATAAATTTTGGAACATAGAAGCACTAACCGGAGCCTGACGCTTGCTATATTTCTTGGCCGTAGTGCGTTATTTTACCTTCTTGATGGAGAAGTTTGATCAAGACTCTCCACTACAACTCACGCGGAAGTACACGGGCTTGTGCAGAGCTATCATCTAAAGTAAGGGCAAACACTGATGTCAGCAAAGCACGTCTACTATTATCACTCGTATTTAAGTTTCTGTAAATACGCTGATGAACAAACACATCGACTTCTCTTTGAAGGGCACCTGACTGGTTTAGAGTAAATAGATGACATATTTCTACTAGGTACATACGCTGAGAAAATGCAGTTCTCTGATCTTCATGAACAGAAATTAGGGTACGTTTGGGATCCCACACCTATCAAATGCATGATAATGCTTCCCAACTGATTTGTACTGACTCCTAGTTTAAGGATACTGAATGAAGTGGTGGAATTTGTTGACCACTTTACTGATTTAGTGAGAAGATTCAGCTCGAGCGGTTGGTAACAAGTTTTCAGCCCGAATACAAAAGGCTCGTTTGGCACTCACTATCTTGCATCATCACACCAGCAAACATCCGACTACCTATTTAAGGATATGCTGTCCATCATTCAGCTCTGTACAATTGTAAGACTGAAATAACTTTTGAAAGCAGGAGATACGAAAATTTCACAAGCTTTTTACCAGAGGTTCTCCTTACACCATTGTTTGTGTAGGGAAATCATAATCTGACCAATGTTCAGATTAGGCGTAGATTACTGCAATATGCGATGTAGGCCAAAGTCGGAGTGGATTGGAAAGAAATTAGCGCGGTCAAAACACGAAGAAGTACAAATGTAACGAGTTCCAGACTGTCTGTCTGGACCATGTAAGGAGATGTTGGTTACATGGCCGGAATCAGTGGAGATTCTCAGTGAAGTGACTCAAAAGTGATCCCAGTGACGCAGACATGTACATTCTTCATGACCTTCGGAGTTTTTAGTATTTTGTACCAAGCTTCATTTATTTGTTCTTCTTCTTCATGCAGTGTCTCCTTTGATATCATCCGTTTTCTATCCGCATCATTCTACGCTGTTATAAAACTAGGACGTTGAACTAATGCACTTTTTTGCCTGATTTTGCGTTCATATATCTGTCTTCTTTAGTCAGATGTGTCCATACATTATCTATATTTTGGTCGCCATACTGAATTTTAGTGGTTTTTTATTTCTTCTTTCTTCTTCTTTACGACTTTTTGCCACCTTTGACTGCTTTCCTCGTTGTTCCCTTATCTTAGTGCATTCTTCCTTAGTGTGCTGATGAGACGTGACAACTTGGAACTTTACACAGTAATGCCAGGTTTTATGTTAATAGTTTGTCTTTTTGAGTCATATTGCCCTGGCGTTTCCGATCATTAATTTACAACTTAAGTAACAAAAGGATTAAAAGGTCTAAATAAAATGAACTAAGCGGATTTATGAAATGGTCATGTGTATTGGTCTACTCATCCTTTTCTTCTAAACATATCCTGTGCCGTAATTCATTCTGATTGGAGGTAGATAGTAGTCTAGCATATATGACACGTCTGAGTAATTGCAGTTAATGGAAAAATACACCTATGTTGGTAGTATTTTCAGCCAAAGAAATGATACTCTACCAACATGTGGATATACAAAATGATTTATTAAGAGGTATATATGACATATAAGAGCGAAGAATGAGTTTGAAGACTTCACGAATTAATATGCGTCAGGCTACCACCTAAAGATGATGCGTATGGGTTATTTCGGGAGAGGATTGTCAAGCTTTAAATACAAACCAGCTACGTCACAAAATTTATAGTTCTGATCACATTTAAACGGGAATTTCAACTGAAAGGTCGTGTATGCTATCCGCACCAAATAATACTACGGATTAATCCATACTACGAAAGCAGAGATATGGGTTGCATGAAGAGTTTATTGCCAGTTATTACGGTCCAGCACCCGCCCAACTGATCAAGGCATGAAGAGATGATTCCCAAAATGTTATCCTAGACTACAAGTACGATACTGATTCTTCCAACTTTTCAGCAGGTTAGTGTATTCAGAAATGCTGATATAGGAGAATCGATGGTATCCTACATGATAAGCAAACTTATGTAAAAGGAGACAGCGATTGGCTTGGATCTAGCATGGTAACGATATGAAGTAGTACGGATTTCACTTTCCACCTTATTCCAGAAGCTAATTTTTGTTTTATCATGAGCTGTCTTGATTTTCCTCTTTTCCCAACTCAGTTTGCAAGCCCTGTCACTAAGCTGCTTAATTAACTACTTAGGATTCTAAAGAGATCGGAGCGAACTACCGTCAAGGAATTTACCACAGGTTAAGGATTTCATTCATTGAATGTCAACTAGTGAAAATTCCAAAGAATTATATGCATAAATTACTCACCAGATTGTATGAAACTGCAGTACACACCAAGTGATTGATTCACATTACTTCCGAACCTCACCCGTTATTTACGCATTGCGTGTGCTATTGCGGTATCATGCCCTAATCAAGTTTAAGAAGCATTATTTCCGCATTCCCCTGACTGGCTGTTGACTGAGGTAAGCTAACCAGCTAAGGAATTAATCAGACTTGTAGCACTATCATGACTTGTTTGGTTTCTCATAACATCTAGACACTAATTATTTAGCAAAGAACGTTCAAAAACCTAAGAATTTGCTTCTGTGGACATGCTAATATGCGAAGTTCAGTTTATTTAAAAGAACGTAATTTTAACTTCCGGATTCACACTTGACGGATTCTCAACTGATTACAAGTATTATGTCGCCTTAAAACTAAAAGTTTATAGTGGTGATTTTGCTAACACAATAAGCAAACAGGTCTAAGACAAACACAGAAGGTAAAACTCCAAAAATTTAGAGTAATTTCAAATAAATCATAATGCACAACTTTCAGTTAGCACGTTACAGTACGTATTGTGCAAAAAGACATCACTTCCTGAAATTCCTTAACAAGTGAAAGAAAATAATCATTTTGAATAAGAAGATTGTCGACCCTAATCAAAACCAGAGGAATGTCATACCGTGCAAAAAGCGTCTCAGCCAAAAACCGATCCGTCTGTTCCGGCTTCCAAGAGATAAATCAGAAGACATTAACTGACTTCACAAACCCAGCGCTACAACGCAAAAGTTCAAATGGATGCAGTGAAATAAAACAGCTGCTGGAGCAGTAAAACAAGACTCACAGCGGATAAACAATGCACCTATGCTTATCTTTTTCGATAACTACTGATTGTCATATTGCCCTTTTTAGGATCTGAAATCTGAAAAATGAATCACTTGTAGTATGAGGAGCTGAGGAATAATCACATTACGAGAAAACACAAACTTGCCGGTGGTGTGGTCGAAACAAGGGGAAATCACATTTACAATAACGGCCAGTGAGTTAGACGAAATGCTCAGGTTTGGATCGAAAGAACTTTGTCTACCACAAGATTTTTCCACGCAAGGCAAGAATCATTCGTGTACCATGAGATATGCAACGTAAGGAGTGAGTCATGGCCTTGTAGATATGAATTACTACGTCATTCCAGTATTGCGGGTTTAGAAGTGATGGCAGAAGAGACTCCTCGGCGTAATGTGCCTGCACTTTTGCCCTCCATTGTACAACTAAAAGTACTAACGTACCGCGTGAGTCAATTTTTCAAGATGTTTCCGTAGAATGTCCACCATCCTCCCTAATTTTTAAAATATTTTGAAGCAGATAGCCTTAGTAGATCATTTCTACGAAGGGTGATGAATAATGAACCTAGTGCCATACTTCACGGTCATTCCCTAAGCAACACTTTCATAGAGAGAGTTTGAATTGGATCATTACTCATTGCTTTCCATTCAAAAGAACACCATTTAGTTATGTGGGAACATTTTCTGAGCTTCGAAATCCTCGTGTTTTATCTGTGGTTGAGCATATTCTGTTTTGTCAGGTGATTTACTTACACCTAAGCTTTGATAGGTGTGGTAAGTGTTACTGCTAGGGAATCAGCTTAATTTGGAAGGGAAACACTTGTCGAAAAAATAAGTAAACTGCAATTTAGTGTCTTATCGGCCTTTCCACAGTGTGAAAAACAGACGTAGGGAGAGCAGGTTTCGTTGGTTAGAAATAGATGGAAGAACAACAAATTTAGCGGTATGAAGTAGAAAAATAGTTCGAAGGAAATGACATCCGTACACTGATAGAGGTATTAAAACAACAAGCTCTGGAGATGTAGCTGTTTGTCAGTGCAAACGCAACATGAAATGGTGCTTGAAGACGCTCAGACACGTATACTCTCAAATACGGTTTAAAACCTATGAACATCAGCTGATTACCTTTCGGATTACCAAGCTAATACTTTTCTTTAGTCACTATTATCTCGTCTATTTAGATGCACTTGGATTTCAATAGAAGAAAGTTGCAGCGCATTCCAAATCACAAGCTTCAGGTAGACAAGCTGCTGACACTTGTGAGGTCCTTTTCGCCCCGCTGCCCTCTACTACCACAGTGAATCTCAGACATCGACAGTCTTTAGGAGAAAAAGGAACAAAGGTTGAAGTCAACCGCATGTCCATTGCTGAGTGTCTAGTTCAAAGGATTCAGTTGGGAGGAATGTGCTTTTGTGCAGTGGATTTAGGTCGCAATTTTAAAAATACAAGCCGCTTTCGCTGTAACCTAATTTTCTCGCGCGGCAACTTGGAAACCTCACATCATTAGGTAAATTTTAGAGAGCATCTACTAGCCTTTCGACCATACATATGTTCCTACCCTTTCCTGCTCCTGATTTTTTGAGCAAGACATCTACCAGAGCTCTTATTAACCGGAAGGGGTATAAGTGAGTCTGTGAGTTGATAGTGTGGTCATATACTGCTTCCTCAGGATTAATGGGCGGATATTTCATCATTTTAATATTTCTCTGATAATTAAGGACTTGTTTGTGCTTTTGTACCAAGAAGGCAACCAGAATAGGTTGATCCCTCTTGGCAGGTGAGCGAGATGAGAACGCCTTGATACTGCCGGATTTTCATGACGCTTTCAGCCCCAAACAGAATTAAGCGCATATCCTAGGTTCTACCGCAAGTCACCAAGGTAAAATAACATCGCGAACATCCGGCAATATCAAGGCCTTCACATGGGAGCCAATCTACTAACAGGTTTTAAGCAGTTCAGCCCCATATAGCAACGGGAAATAGTAAGTATCAGACGGCGAAAAATTATATAAGTTGCACTTGTGGTGGCTCTGGTGCCTCAGTAGTGTAGCGGACAACACTTTGATGTGAAAAGCACAAAGTATTCAGTCTTCCTCAGTGGGAAAGACGCTACTAAGCGGGGCTTAGGTACATCCGCCTGACTGGCAGGTCCCAAATAGAACGAAAAATGTGTTCTGGATTCTACACCTAGTGACGAAAATGAATACAACGTAACCAGATCCCTTATTTGGACTTTTCATTACTTCGAGACGCTTTATTGCTTGCATTATTTCGTAACTTGTACTTTAAGTGTTTGTCTGGGTGCCATTCTTTAGATATGGAAGTTCATGCTTTTAAAGTTTTCAAGCACCGCTGGGTGTGCAAAGAACAACGATCTTGCTCAGCCACAGCATATGGGAACTGAGAGTCGGCACACCAGAAGAAAAATACACCGATGACTTTCAACAATGACCATGGTTATCGCACAGATGGAGTTAAATGAAATGTAGAAACGACAATCTGGAGGGCCCCATCTACCTCACATCTGACAACATCGATGTCGCCTAGAGTGATGGCTGCCAATCTTAGACGCCAAGAGCTTCGAACGAGAGTACTGCACACACAGTATATATTAGGGGACAACATGGTGAGGAATGTTCACTGTTGCGAAAGAAAATTCGCGGCACCAAGACGACAGAGAGCAACGCTCCCTCTTCTCACTGAGATCGTCACTGCTATGAGCGGAGACGACGACGTCCACACTGGCAACCTTGACCAAACGACAACTCCAAACGCCACTGTGGGGAAAAAATTCTGACCAATTCTACTGGAAGTGGCCCAGTTGTAACAAGTGTCACCACTACACACAACCATACGAGGTTCACCGCCTTTAAAGCTACCCATTTTGCGAGAAACATCCCAGAGTATTTTTGCAAAAATATTGGGCGACTAATGGATAAGATAGCAGAGGTGCGATCCCTATTTTCCCGCTTTGCCCCAAAAATTGTGACCCTGACAGTAAATTGGTTGACGTTAGGAGTTAAGGACATCGAAGCGGATGCAGGCGGTATTTGCAGGTTCAGGAGAGACAGGGATCTCAAAGAGAGGGTCGGAGTGGTTATTTTCGTGGGTGGTCAATTCTGAAATTAACGAGCTGCTAAAACTGTGCCGTCACAGCTTCCAGACCCCGTCTGGTGTCACTTCACGGCCGGAACCACTGAGTACTTTGTATTGGGAGCCTACCAGGTACCACGGCTTTAAGTGTGACATTCGAACAAAATCTGGCCAGCATCATCAAAATGTCAGAGATACATGAAAAGGATTGGGGATGAAACTATTTTTAAGTCGAGTGGAAAGCCATCAAAACTGGACTGTCTTCTTACTCGCAACCATCTTTTGGTAGAAAACGCTCGGGTTTAAACTCCCGCTCTTGTAGCAGCAACAGCGTTTTGGTACTGTTTAATCTAATAATTACGAAACTGATATCACGCAGGGACTCCGCCGTTGTCCTTACGACACGAGACCAAACTACAGCGCAATGAACGGATGCCTCTGGGTAGCAGCATGCCCTCAGAAGTGAAGTTCTCCGTCTACTGGCTACCACTGGCAATTGCTGAGGGACGTCATTAAGAGGGCCGTCTCCAAAAAATGCATCACCAATGAGGCGGATCCCACGGCCGAATCTGAGCACTGAACGCCTTCTGAAAGCCAAGGGGGAACCATGGCATAAATAGAGGCTGTCCAGAAAAGTTTCAGATCATAGAGCATATGTGGGCCCCAGGAATCGATGTAAATTGAAGATATAGGAGCACGGGAGATTTTTCCGGACAATCCTTAAGCAGAAGAGCAGAGAGAACTCCATGAACCCCAAATACATACATGATTCCACAGGGTTAGAAATGTACCATTCTTTCACCCACCGTCACAGGGAGAAACATGCAGAATCCGAAGTGCTGTTGGAAGTAGTGGAGGGTCTGATAGACTGCCAGGCGCGATGATACTTAGATAAGAAAGGATCGCTAGCTGGTCCCCTGTATGGCTTCCAAAAGAGAAGGACCCACGTAACCAGACCATTCGGAAGTCTGCTATAAGTAGACGGCGTGCCAGGAAACCCGGGTCCTTGTTCTTGCGGTTTTCTCTGATTTGAAAAAGGCCTTTTACACAGTGACACATGCCACCCCATACGCAAACCAAAAAGGTTGGATATCAGAGGTCAGGTGCTATCCTGACTGCGGGGCCACTTGGACGGCAGAGTATTCTGCACAAAGGTCAACCGGGTTTAGGCAACTCGGATGACAGCATCATGCATTGTTTCACATACAGCAAGTCTGCATCCACCGGTGTTTTACCTCTGTGAATGACCCGGCATCGAGTCTCAGCTCCCCGATGATGCTGAGCTGTGATGCGTTGTGATGTGAGAAAGAGAGTGGAGCAAACAACAAGGTGACGAATGCCAAGCCATGTTTCTCCCCACTTTCCGCTCACAATAAGTATCCTACTGTATCCGTGACGTGCATCTTTTTCATATGACCGCAAGGAACAACCTAGACCGGATGCAAACTGACAAACTAGACAGTACTTCAAAAGGTGGGGAGAAGCCCCTGCAGTCTGCTGAGTATTGCACTCCGTCCGCGGACAAACAGCTTCTGCCACTCGGATACTCTTTCCAAAGCTCCACAAGACCTACACATGATCTCACTTAGTGGTCCATAACATCATCTTACCAGCATACCTGACAAGGGATCTCAACTTCCCAGAGAGAGTCCAGAGGTGAGCAGCGAAGGATGTTGTAGGAATGAGGCGAAAGCCCCATGAGGGTAGAATAAAGGATCTAGACCTGTACTGTCTCGGCTAGTGAGGTTTACACAGTGGCTTGATAACAGTTTACAGGGTGCTAGGCATTCCAAGTTACCTGAACAGTAGAAACCTACCAAACAACCGACCAAGGAGAAATCCTCATCTAAAAGTGAAAACCCGGGAGCG